TTGCTAGCGATCTGTCACTAGCCCACTCCAAATACTATACGACTACCGAATACTAGATGAACACCTCCCGCATCCCTGATACTGATAATCCCCTGAGTTTAATCTGACGTCCTTAAAGTCTGAATAACTAATGCTTAGCGCAACCTCCTCAGTGATAGGCCACTCCCTTTGATGCTTCCAAAAGCTATCCCAAACACCAAGACTAGAACCATCAAACCCTGATGATGGTGGATGAATACTCCCTGAACCATTTTCAGCCGTAACCGAGATGATACTGAACACTTCGAACCCGAAGTGAAAGATGACCTACACTAGCTACTAATAGCTTCTGGTATGCAATTGGCATATGACAATTCCAAAATACAATCCGAATACGAGCAGAGAGACAACTCATACATACTATCACCTGAGTCCGGGGTAAGAACTTCCCTAATTCACATAGAAGTGAAAATAGCCATAGATACGTACCTGCAACATTCCCTGCTGTAATCCAGATCTCCCTCATCTGTCACTGCAAGGCCCTACCCTCTCGCCCATCCGTAATCCTCATAGTCATCGGAGCAGACGCACTCCCTGCACCTCCCCTCATCGTCGGGCAGTCGGCCCTCTTGTGGCCCACCTGATTGCAGTGAAAACATAATGGGCTTGCCCCTTGTGGGCAGTCCCTGCTGACGTGACCATTACTGCCACACTTGTAGCAGCCTGACCCCCTGGAACGACAAACTCCCTTGTGCGGTTTCCCGCACGTGCTACATTGACTTCGGACCTGCCGACCTACTAATCGCTGATCTGAAGTCTTGGGTCTCTTTCCGAGACCCTCCAAAGTATATGTCTGATCTGACCTCCTCTTCGCAATGTGCTCCAGATCGATCTCCCTTTCCCGCGCCCTGGCAATCATAGAGCCCAGGGTCGGGCATGCCGAGAAGCTGACATGCTCCCGAATATCAGCTCTCAACATGTCATGATAGCGGGTCCTCTGCATCTCATCATCCCCTGGATACTGAGGCACCAATAAGGCCCTCTCCCGAAACTTGGCGGTAATCTCCGCCACCGACTCTGTCGTCTGCCTCATGTCTAGGAATTCTCTGGCCAGCTGCTGAAGCTCTACCGCCGGCGCAAACTCCACCCTAAACCTGGTCACAAAGTCTGTCCAGGTCATAGCCTCGACGACCGAGGCTCCCAATGAGTCACCAACTGACTCCCACCAATCTCTAGCTCTGTCTCTCAAACATCCCGCCGCAAAGCGGACCTTCGACCCCTCCGGGCAGAAGCTTGTCAACTGTGCAGACTCAATGTCTGCGATCCATTTTCTGGCAGCAATGGGGTCCTTCACCCCGTGAAAATCCGGCGCACCACTCCCTCTGAAGTCCTTGAAGGACAGTGTGCGCGTACTCGCCTGTCCAGAAGCCAAATCACTCCTGAAAGCTCGGAGGCGATCCTCCATCAGCTCAATGATCCCCTCCTTGATCGACCCGAAAATGACCGGGGTCGCCTCAAGGATGCCTCTCGTAATCTCAGACGCGATGAACTCGCGTAACCCATCGTCAACTTGCTCGGATCCCGCGCCCGAACCTGATCCTGAACCGGATCCTGATCCTCCTGCTCTGTGTCGCGTGGTCACCATGCTGAAAATACACGCATAAATGTCAGGATCATACATACTCCCGAGAGGTCTAACACACTCTCCAAGGTTCCCGGTTCCATCTAGGCCCTCCTTGATTCGAGTACGGATCCTCTGCTTTCAGTAGTACGGGCCCATACTACCTTCCACATCTACCCGTACTTTCCTCAAGGATTGCTTCGACTTTACCAAGTCCCTTCTACTAATGCTGCTCTCTGCTACCCATCTCATCCTAGGCTTACCCTAGGGAAATCTCCAATCCCAGACCCAGTCCTCAGCTGCTGAAAGACTCTTCATAATGCCAATTAACCACTACATGAATACCATCACATGTGACGAGGCTCGGATAATCCTTCGAGTAAAGGACTCATCCCTACAACGGTTAGACTCAGACAAGAGCTACGCAATAGGGTCAAGTCCAACACTTTGATATTATTCAACCCTGATCACATGCGACTTAACGTATTTATCTAGTAGCTAACTCCCATCACTTGGAGTCCCACAAAGCACAAAGCAAGCAGCATTCAGACAAACGGAAAATCTAACCGACTAAGCCATTCTATCCTCTAATTAGGCATCCGCACTAGCATTCAATTCAAAGGCTCATATAATCAGGCATAACCTAAACAGGCTATCCTATTACTGACTGATCAGTACTAGCATGCAAGTCTACAAGCACATACAGTAGGCATATAAGGCATCCTCCTAGATCCTCAGCCCTAATCTAGCATGCAGTTCTCATAACCATATCATAACATAACATAACATAGCATGTATGGGTATCTTGGGGAAAACTTACTTGAGCTCGGCTGATTGCACGCATCACACACTTCGTTCTTTTCAAAGTTCTACTCTCTTTTCAGATTCTTTTCAACTTCTTTTTATAAAAGAGTTTTTACTTTTGAAAATTTTCATACCAAGCCCTTAGTTTGAGTTCATACACACCCGAGAGTATGTCCGAATCCCTCAAACCAAGGCTCTGATACCAACTTGTAACGTCCCAATTTTCGAGGCCAAAAATTTCATTTTTAAATAAGTTATTACATAAAACCATCAGTATAAAAACATTCATAATAATATCTCGTGTCAGTAATCAAAACATATTATCATAAAACCATATCAGAGTGTAATCCCCAAAGATCTCATGTGCGGAAAACATAGTGTGATGCGCTGCGATCAAGCCGGCTCCTTTCCTTTAGACACGAAGTACCTGAAACCAAAACTGAAAACCGTAAGCACGAAGCTTAGTGAGTTCCCCAGATACCACATACCATACAAACCAACTAATCCATACATGCCATACATAGCCAAGAGCCATACATAACCAACATATCCATAGTCAATTAAGGTGCTATGTGCCAAACATAGTCTTGCCAAGGTGCTATGTGCCAAACATAGTCTTGCTAAGGTGCTATGTGCCAAACATAGTCTTGCTAAGGTGCTATGTGCCAAACATAGTCTTGCGGTTATGCCACGGGCCGCATGTGGTCTTCCTGGTCAAGCCTGGGGCCACTCCCTGGTCTTACAGACAGGTGCCAAGGGCCACCCCCTGGTCTTCCATGCAAGCATCACAAAGACAACTATACAGACTACTCTATTAGGCTACTCCGCATATAATGTGCCAGGAGCCACCCCCTGGTCTTTCATACAATAGCATACAGTGCGCCAGGAGCCACCTCCTGGTCTTCCATACATATTGCCTAGGGCTAACCCCCGGGTCATCCTATCATACATAATATCATACTGTGTGCCAGGAGCCGCCTCCTGGTCTTTCATGCATATTGCCTAGGGCTAACCCCCGGGTCTTCCTATCATACATAATATCATATTGTGTGCCAGGAGCCGCCTCCTGGTCTTTCATGCATATTGCCTAGGGCTAACCCCCGGGTCTTCCTATCATACATAGACTAAATGGGCCGGCATTGTGGCCGTAGACCCATACAAACAGTGAGGAGACTCACCTCGTACTGCTGATCTTTGTTGATAACCCTCTGGCTGCTGTCCGACCACTTTCTAAACCGCTGCTCCACTAGCTCTCCGAGCTACTAATATCAATAAAACACTTAGTTCCAAACTGAACTCTAGAAGTCAACTAATTCAACTCTGGTTAAAGTCAAAGTCCTGGTCAAAGTCAACTTCTAGTTGACCGGACTCGCCGAGTTGGGTCGTCAACTCGCCGAGTTCCTCACCCTTTACTCGCCCTCATCCATGACCCCACTCGTCGAGTTGGGCTGTCAACTCGACGAGTTCCTCTCTCATGTGAACGTCACATGAAAATTCATTCGACTCGCCGAGTTGATGAACAACTCGTCGAGTTCACCTTTATCTGATGAACAAGTTCTGCCATCGACTCGCCGAGTTGATGAACAATTTGTCGAGTTCATCTTCATCCTTAAGAAGATTGCCTTGGACTCGCCGAGTCTGTTCATGCACTCGCCGAGTCCCATGAATTCCAGAACCATGGCTTAGTCCAGAACGTTGGGTCACTCCCCGGGACCTCCCTGAAACCTTTCCACACTCAACTGGGTCCCTTTGGCCCTCACTGCTATGGGACAGAAACCTTGGACTCGCCGAGTCCAAGAATAGACTCGTCGAGTCGGTCACATCCCCTCGCTAAAACTTCGATTTCTGATGTACAAACTTCGATCAAAAGATAGATCTATGCTTCTACAATCGACCTAGCACGTAAAGTTACAACCTTTACGTGCTTGCATGGGACTTTGAGCTCAAAAGGTCCTAAAACAAGCTCTTACAATGCATGGGGCCTTCTTTGAGTGCAAAAGCCACTCCTTTCTGCCTTGTAACCATTCGAAGGACCTAGATCTGAACTTCAACCCCTAACCATGCTTGCAATCATGGTTGGTGACCAAAATGGCTTAGAAAAGCCCTAAAACTCCACAAAATGGGATCTATCAAAAGAGCAAGCAAGGTATAGACTTTATACCTTCAGTAGACTGCAAATGATGCTCAAAACCGAATCCTTCTAGCCTCCTCTTGATCCTTCAAGCTTTTCCTTCCTTCCTTGGATCACAAAAGCACCAAAATCACTCCAAATGGCTTAGATTGCTTCAATAACGGCTAGGGTTTGCTATGGGGGTCTTCTGGGAGCAAATGGGACGAAGGAGGCCGAGTTAAGGTGTTTAAATAGGGTGAAAACCCTCGGGTTAGGGTTTTTGTCCAGACAGGGCCTACTCGCCGAGTCCGGGACCCGACTCGTCGAGTCCACAGCTTAAACTCCGCGTCTCATCCCGCTTCTACTCGGCGAGTTGGTCCTTCAACTCGCCGAGTCCAAGGCCAAAATGCAAAATATTTAAGAAAAGAATACGTACCAAGAACCAGGTGCTACACACCTGTTTACTTCAACAAACGTAAAACTCTTTCATGGACCAAATGCAGCTAGCCAAGCTCCTATATTGATAATATCTTCATGATACAATACACGCCTATCATTTGCACAAAGATTTTGATACTCATCAATAAGTTGCTCAACTTCATGTTTCATTATATTCACTTCACTCAATAGAATTTTCAAACAATATCTTCTTCGAAGCTTTCTAAGTTGACAAACCTGCTCAGCACTTTCCATTTTAAAACCACATGTCCATTGAGCTAAAAGACCTCCCTTATAAGTTTCTATATGACGCATCAAAAAAATCCCACAATCATTACCGTTACCTCTTGTTTTCCACGTCATATTCTGATCCACAAATTCCATTTCATATTGAACTGAAAATGCCATAAAATGATTTATCTCTTGAAGATATCTACCGAACATATATTTTTGCATTAACAAATATAAATAATATTACATTATGCATTATAATAATAACTGAACTTTTTAAATATAAATAAACCTATAAATTACAAACAACACATATCACACTTACCAAATTTTGAGTAAGATGAGGGTATGAATCTTCAGAACATCTATACAATATGTTGTCCAATATGACAATTTTTCAATTTTTAGAATAAAAAACAAACACAAAATAGTGATTGTTTGCACATGTAGGAAAGAACACCTAAATATAAAAAATTAAATTTCATTAATAGATATAAACAAAAAATCATAAAAATTACAAAGTAAAACAAAACTTAGCAAATCAATTCCTTTTAAATTTCTCCTGTCTTTACACTCTCCCAAACAATGAACAACATTTTCTTTAAAATTGTTGTACTCATCATCAGATTTACATGCTTTACTATGCATGCATGCAGGATCCTAATAACTAAAACATTAATATAATTAACTTCATACTCGTATAAATTTTTTTAATAACAAATAAGATAACTACCAAAACTACTGTCTTGAAGAAGAAACATGCCGGAGTGTCCAAATTCCTTGCTCTCTCATCATAGTTTAACACTTCAACAAAACAATCAATAGTCCCAGAAAAAAGATATTCTCCAGAATATAAGCTCTCAAACATGTATCTTTCCCCAGGTTGACCATTTATGCTATGAAAAAGGTTGTCCCTATAACAATCCAATTAAAATCCATTAAACATATTATTCCTTGTACAAATCCCCTAATCTAATAATATCTCCGCCCCAAATTGATAGTCCACTTTTGACTTTTGATGTATTTTTTTCTTCAATTTTAACCTTAAATATTTTTATAATTGATAGATAATACTTGATATAAAATTTATGAATGGATTGTATTTAAATGTATTTTCATTGTTATAAGTTTTATCAAATAAAATATAACACAAATAAAAATATTTAAGGTCAAAATTAAATAAAAAAGACTTCAAAAGTCAAAAATGGACTATCAATTTGGGACGAAGGAAGTAAATAAGAGCAATTTACGACGTGACATTATAACATTCTATTAGCCCACCCGCAAGCTTTTTTCCCGATGAAATCTTGCAACTAAAATTCTGAAATTACCCTTAGACCATTAAATTTGTGCTCTACATATCCTCGGGTCTTGATTCTCTTCCTAATTTTTCACCCTATTTCGTATTCCGATCCCAGATTTTTCGGATTCAACATTTCTTGAATTCCATTTAATCCCTTTTGAAATCACGATGATTTTTTCTTTGCAAATTAGGAATGTAATCCTATGTAAAGTTGAAATCGGTGGACTAGGGCTTCTATCATAAACATCCGATTCAATACCTGTCTCATTGGAACCCTCGATCCAATCAATGGTTGATGGTAATCCTTATTCTTCTATCATAAACATCCGATTCAATACCTGTCTCATTGGAACCCTCGATCCAATCAATGGTTGATGGTAATCCTTATTCTTCTTCTCTGGATTCAAGGAAATGTCTCATGAAGCCATGGCGCCGTCTCCCCCCCTCTTGACGTTCCCAGGTGGGCTTATTTACATTTTTTGTATGAATATTTGATTTATGAAATACATATCTTGATACGATCTTCTGTTTCTCCTCTTTACCTCCCCTCCTTTCTCTTCATCTCTGTATTTTTCGTTATTTTGTGTTTTTTTTTTCGAGAATCAGACCCGATGACATAAAAATGGAATTTCATAACGATATTGGGTCATCAAGAAGGGTTTTGATTTTGCAGGTAGATTTTGAAGCAATATTTCTTTGCTAGATGATTTTGAGTTGTATTCATAGCTTTTGTTCTCCAATCGTATTTACAAACCCAGTTTCTGAGATGGAGAGAGATCTTACATATGTTATCATTTTCTAACTGATTTTCTATGTTTCACACTTAACACTATTTTCTAATATTGTTTTGATTGAACATGTTAACAATGTTGTTGATTTTGTCCAGATGCGTTTGGAATCTATTGAAGCTGTAAATAAAATTGTGGAAGAAGCCAACAAGCGTATTCAGCCTACTGGAACCGGTAATAATTTGCATTGATGAGTTAAAACTTAAAAATATATGGAAGTTGCTTCATGTTTTTCACTGTGTTGTGTTGTTATTTCAGTGGAATTGTTTGGGGCTCTTAGAGCACGGTTATATCATAGCAACAAGAATTTAATCATTACCACTTTGACCTGTATAAGTGGTCTTGCGTCTGCTATGGGAGCTGCAGTTGAGAAGTCAAGCAAGGTCCATTTAATATACCTTCCATCTACATTGGTGTAAGTTTAAGGTTTTTTTTTTATAATTCTTCCTTTGGCCTTTGGTTATGCATTTGTATTTTGGCTTCTTTGGAAGGATGTAAAGTTGAATAGAAAATACATCGTTAAGTTCATCAAAAATTTCACAGTTGTACATTAGGAAAGAGCTTTTTGGGTTGTCTTTATCTCGAATTGTTGATTCGATACCTAATTTTATTGACAACTGAGCTCTTTTCTTTTATAAATCATTAATGTTTACTCTTCATATTCAAAATTTCTTTTTAATAGCCGGTGTTGATCTATTCAATACCCAATTCCTTTAAGAACCCACATGATTGTAATATTTATTTCTTTTTGTTGTGAAATGAGTAAATTGAGATGATCTAAAAGGAACTCAGCTGAGATTTGTTTGAGACATAGTTATTTGAGAGATTACATTTGTTTCGGTGTTGAACTCTAATTGTAGTATCTTTAACCTTTGTTATAAACTGATGGCTTTTAGTTTTCTTGGAAGGAAGAACAATATAGGTGAGATGATCCGGTGCAATAAGAAGAGCCAAGGGTATTATGGTCTTTTTTGCGGATTTGTCAATTGTAGCAGGTATATTCAAAACTGTATAGAACATCTTGACAATGGTTGGCAAGAGGAAAATGTTTTAAGCCTTAAAACATAATTGGATGGTCAAATAAGCAAATCATGATACAAAAGTGTATTTACCAATATAGTAAGTTAACCTTACTATATAGTTGTCAATTCACAAGTAAGTTAAAACCTGTAAATGCTAGCCAATAATTCTTATGAGTTTCATGAATAATTAGTATTATATATGATTAAAAAGCTACAATATCAAATACTAATGCATGTTTAAAAAAAATAGTAATAAGTTGTATCATTAGAAAATGTCTTTTAGATGATTTGTGATTATTTGACATGTTCCAATCTGTTTGATAAATTGCAAGTAAAACATAATATAACTTGAGCATCTTTAGGTCAGAAAGTTGAAATTTCCTTAGCAACAGTCTGCATCAAAGAGTTGTGGATTCAAAATTCTGAAAATAAAAATCATGACATAATGAATTCTTAGAACCTAAATTCTGAAAATGCAGATGTTCATAACAACCGTCTACATCAAAGAGTTGTGGATTCAAATAGAGAGTCCATTAGTGGAGCCGAAACTGTAAGTTTCTTATGACCAAAAGTCAAATAATGTCAGAATCCTAAGTACTAAGTTTGTTATTTGGTCCCATTTGTGTAAAGTAATACTTGGTGTCATGCTTTTTTGTTTTTTGGCCTTTGACATGAATTAATGATGAAGTTAGATAGAAAAGAAGGGGCAACATAATGCATACATCTCCTAAACTATGAAGGGGCTGGAGAGGGAGCCTTTGTATGTAATGTTTCCATCCTATGAATTCTGATTTATAAAAATTAATCCTACAATTAACATGGGACAACTTTTAGTTTTTATTCCCACTTCCAGTTTTTATTCCTTTTTAACTTTTAATCCAGCTTTCTATTGATTAAGTGCAGTCAAGCGTGAAAGAAATGGACGAGCATTACTCCAATAAAAGAGATCATAAAGAAGGGATTTGTTGTGTAACATACACAATGGTTATGTCAAAGTTTCTTAAAACTTTAGTTTTGGTTATTTTACTTCCATTCCCGCATCCTCAATTGGCTATAAGAGCCCATCATGAAAAGATGGATTAGTAAATTAAATTAAATCAAATTAAGTAATTTTATACAATACGCTTGCTAGCCCTTTTTTTTGTAGGAATCAGTGCAACTAATAAACTGAATTTATCTATTTGTCTGTGATCTTTTTGTAATAAAATTATAGCTTTATTGCTGTAATTCTATGTATTGCTCTTTTTTTTTTCTTAATCTATAACAATTATGGGTGCCTAATACATGATCACCATCGCTTCTTCTTTTGCAACATATTGTAGCATATGAAGGAAAAAATAGTTGTTGTAGAGAGCATCCATCAAGGTCAAGTCATGGAGATTATGCTTAGGTTGCAAAGCAACTAAATGTTGCACATAATAACATAAAAACTCAAAGAGAGGTTTCAGTATTTGTTTATTTTAGTGCTTTTACATTAATATAGTGACTAATTTAAAAAATTATAGCATTGTACTTTGAAAATATAATGTTGTAATTGTTATCTTTTACTTTTGGTTATCCAAATTATAACAATGTACTTTCAAAGTACAATGTTATAATGAGAAATCTATCATTTGGCAATGTACCTTCAAACAAGTCATCCAAAATTTAATGTTTTATAATTAGGTTTGTCACTAAAATGTCAACCCGTTCAAACAATGTGAATATTATTTCTTAGTTTTCATTGATATACATATATTTGAATTTTGTTATTTATGTTTTATACTAAGTCATTTACTATGTATTATTGTTAATTTAAGTAATCAGCCCCGTGTATTACACGGGGTTTCACCTAGTGTGTGTGTGTGTGTGTGTGTGTGTGTGTGTGTGTGTGTGTATATATATATATATATATATATATATATATATATATATATAAACACATTACGTTGGATTTCCACGTAAGCTGAATACCTAATTCGAATTGATATTCTTCTCCTTCGTCAAATTACTATCAATTTCAACAGCCCGTACAACAAATGGAGACATGAGGACTGGAGGTACCGTTTGACTTCTCTTTGGTCTCGATGAAATCATATCATTCTCAAGTTTTTTAACGTTTTCACTTATATCATGAGAATTTATTACATTTCCTTTGACTGAAGAAGAACATATTCCAACAAATGCAAAATTCTTAATAACATCACTATCGACACCTGTATTAACTTTATCCTCAATTCCTAAATTAAAATAAGGAATATCCTCAATTACACACTTGTTCCTATGAACATCCTCGCCATACACATGCAAATTACTTTCACTAAAACCAGTTTTGCCAGATTCTTTACCCATACCAAATTTATTAATTCCAAAACCATTCTTAATAGACTGACCAAATTCCTGTTGTCTGATAACTTCTCATCACAACTACTACTTTTCCGATATGACTCAAAATTTGATTTTGATTTAGAATTACTATGACGAAAACCTTTATAAGCAGAACATAACTCTTTCACCTTCAATCCGTAGAACTCTATTATTTTCATATTTCCATGCTTTTTAAAAAGCTTTTTCCACCTTTTTTGACATATCTAATAAACACCACTTAATTTCTTACTGAAACTCCTTAATTTCTTACTGAAACTTCTGATAACAAAAAAAAAATTAATCAGACACTTAGCAAATTATAATTAATAAATTAGTCTGAAAATTAGGACATACATCTAAGTAAGCACTATCTTACTCAATTTAATGCAATTTTTTTTTATCAAACTACTTAACACAACAATCATCACTGGTTACACATTTACAAAATTACTATTACTGACTAAAATTGATCCTCTTGCAACTTCATCAACACTCTTCACTGTAGCAGATGGTGTTCCAAAACCTCCGTTTGCAATTTCCTTTATTTCCCTTACTTTCAACTAATTTAATCACTAGATATCTTCTCACCATTAACATTTGCTTACATGGAATCTTATCAACATATAGCAGCTACAAAAAAAAAATTAAATTAATAACCAACTATAAATCATACTTATATTTTAAACATATTAACTCAAATTGTAAGTCCCAAATTCTAAGATCCAAATCAGTGATCAAGTATTATAGCAATCAATCAGAATGTAGAAGGAGAAGAAAAGGAATCAAACCAAGCATGCACACATTTATATCATATAAATGTCAAATACACCTTGAGTACACACACATACGTCACCCTAAGACTGACACAAACACCTACTATTTATAGCATCCCCAGCAGCACACGAGTGTACAGCCGCACACACAAGTCTAGCCGTACACACACCACATAGTTACTAACACATCATTACAAGACCCATAACCTACCAAGACCTATACAATGTAGAAGCCTAGCCCAAACCATTAAATCATGACCTATCAATCTCCCCATTGGTTTGAGGCTAACATAAACTTGGTCTTCAATCTTTTGCTTTCTCGAACAGCCTTAGGTCAGATTTTCCCATTAAACCCATCCAGAACCTATCTTTGACAATTGTGGCAACCATTCTTGTGAATTCTTTTGCAGCAGCCTCCATGATCTCATTTTTGCACACAATTTGATGTATGGCCAAGGTGTGAATGTCTCTCTCTCTCTCTGAATCTCAAAAGATCCTTAGCGCTAACAAGCCTAAGAGTTCCTTCTCTGTCTTTAAACTTGATGGCAGCAGTTGCAGTGACGTCATCAAAGGCCCAAAATTCCATGTCATCAAGACATCCATCATGAAAATGTTGAGGAATAGGAATCTCTTTCAATTGGTTTGTAGCTGGCCACAACATTATCTTTACTGGTTCGTCAGTTTCAGGATCAAGAATATCTTTGTCTTTTCTAACCAAAGGTCTCGCAGTCTTCATTATTTGTGACAACCGTCAAATTCAAGTCAAAGTCAAACAAGTCAAACCGGTCGAATTTAATTAGTGCTTGTATGTTAAAAGTTATTCTATGTATAAAAATGTGCATTTGTATGTCAAAAATTCAAGTATCTCGAAGAATCTATGTGTTAACAATGTAAAAACCCTAAAAAGAGAGTTAAACGCATCAAAACACGACTAAGGACCCTTTCGGGGACTTAAAGCAATCATAAACGAAGCATAATAAGGTTCACGAACCTTGCATTACGAGATCATACGATAATAATGGCTAAGATGAAATCTCTCCCAAATCTCTCCAAGTATGTGAAATCTCTCCCAAATCTCTCCAAGTATGTGAAATCTCTCCAAGTATGTGAAATCTTTCCCAAATCTCTCTAAGTATGTGAAATCTCTCCCAAATCTCTCTAAGTATGTGAAATCTCTCCCAAATCTCTCCAAGTAAGTGAAATCTCTCCCAAAATCTCTCTCAAACTTTTTATAGTCATCCCGACCCGTAACTTGGCCAAAAACCGCTCGAAACGGTGAGTTATATCGAAAAACAGCTAAATAGGGCCGAAACCCCTCTTAGGAACCGAAACCCCTCTTAGGAGCCGAACCTCTCAGGAGCCGAACCTCTTAGGAGCCGAAAGTGTCTGAACCGAAAGTGTCAGAACCGAAAGTATCAGAACCGAAAGTGTCAGAACCGAAAGTGTCAGAACCTCCTCGGACCGAAGCCAGCAGCGAGGACCGAAGTTCGGCCCCCATGCGAGACCTCGGACCCTCGCACCCCCCACTTCGGACCTTCGGCCTACTCTCGGTTCTTCCTTTCCCTACTCTCGGTTCTTAGCTCCTTAAAGCCGAACCTCGCAGGTTCGGTCCCTAATGCCGGTTTTTGACTACTTTCGCCTCCTAAACCCGTTTTTGACGGGATTTTTTCACAAAATTCATATTTTTACCATTTTAACCCCCAAAACTCATATTTTTATTTATTTTCCAAGAATTTTTAATTAAAAATCATTATTTTATTATAAGAGGAGTATTCTACCCTACAAGTGGGTCAAGTGTGCCCACTTGCCTCCATGTGTCATCCTCTCATTAGCTAACCTTATCCACATCACACAAACCAAGGCATACATCACTTCAAACTCTCAAGTTGCTCCACCAACCTTCTATATAAAGAAATCCCTGGAAGATTTCTAGATTTACTTGCTCATTTCAAAAACTTCCACACTTCTCATATCACCTCAAGAAAGCTTCTTTCTCTCTACTTTCCACCACCTTGTGCAAGTGTTCTTGAGTTGCTACTGCACTTTTGGTAAGTATTCCATCTAAAATCAAGTGTTATTCCAAATTTCCATAACACTCTTGGATCATTGACTCATATATTAACACCAAAAATCGTTCTTAGGATCATCCAACTCTTCCTGTGTTCATCAAGTACTCTTGGCTTGATATTCCTTAACTTCAACCTTCCACTCTTCAAGTCATCACTCAAGGTGAGTTCATACCCCTATATTTTCTACTTTTCTTCAGTTTTCAGGGGGGAATTTGATGGGTTTTGAGCATAACATCAATCCTATGGTGTTCATGCAACCCTAATTGCTTGGATCTAGTTTTTCTACTTTGAACATGCAATAAACTTTCAAGACTTATAAACCCTAAATCTAGCATACAATTAATCAAATTAACATATAAACTATGGTTTAGATCTTACCTTGATTGTTATGTAGCAATAACAATCAATTCCTTGGCTTCAATTGGCTTCAGAAAGCTTAGTGCCTCAAGTGTTGCACCTCTAATGGAGTCATAAACACCACTAAGCAACTTGGATGAAGAGGGAGGAGATAGGAGGCACCAAAAACGGCTGGAAACCCTAGAGGAACTCTTAGCCATGTTTTTGGGGCATAGGGGTCCAATATATATATATATATATATATATATATATATATATATATATATATATATATATATATATATATATAGGCTATTAGGGTTTGCAACTAAGAAACCCTAATGTGACTGCTTAAGCCCTAAGCAGCCCATGGACCCCTTCTAGAACATGCCTTGGACGATTTCTAATGGGCTTCCCCATAGAATTCGTCCAACCTATTATTCCAAGGTGATCCATAGCCCAATTGCAATTATCTTATAATTACAACTCCAGTCCCCTAAGTTTAATTAATCTCTTTTAGTCACAAAATTAATTCTTAATTAATTCTTGACTAATATTAATTAAACAATATGATTTCTCCTTTAATATATTATTCTTATAATATATTAATAAATCATAATTAAACCTTTCTCTCCTTAATTCATCCTACATATTGCTATGGTGAAGGCAACCCAAAGGACCATGCTCACAATCGGGTCAAGTACATACCAAAATAGTTATGGACTTAGACACTAATCCAACAGTCTCCCACTTGGATAAGTCTAATAACTATTTTGCTTAACTTCAGAACCTAATCAGCAATTGTAGCTTTCAAAAGCCGCTGTCAACTCTGATCTTATCAGATACACGTGTCCTTTAGATAAGGGATCATATATTCCTCCATTCTACAAGATATCGTATAGACATGAGACATGGATTTAAATCATTCTCTCTGTCTATGTATTGTTTCCCGACATCTGATTTATGACGACTGACAATAGACTACAATTGAACACATCAACTTAGTCCCGGCTTGGCCAAGCGCTTAGGGTGTCATCACTAAATCATCGAGAGGCCCACATATATCGCTTTTATCCCACTTTGGGTAAAAGGAATGGATAAACTTCGACTCAAATGCTTGCTTGCACCTACTAATCGAATCACACACAACAGTAAGTTTTATAACACCAAGTTACTGGTGCGTTTACTTATCATCAATGTGCAACCGACCAGCAAATAACAACTCACACGTCTCGGTTTCAAGAATATACAATGTTATTGTAGCACCTGGTTCTTGATACGTATTCTTTTTATTAATTCTTTAAATATTTTGCATTTTGGCCTTGGACTCGGCGAGTTGAAGGACCAACTCGCCGAGTAGAAGCGAGAAGGGACGCGGGACTTAAGTGATGAACTCGGCGAGTCGGGTCCCGGACTCGGCGAGTAGGTACTGTTCGGACCAAAAACCCTAATCTGAGGGTTTTCACCCTATTTAAGCAATGATATGACGGCCATATTGTCCCTTATGCTCCCAAAACACTTCTCATTGAAACCCTAGCCGTTTGTGCATTGTTGAGGCCATTTTTGGTGTTCTTATGTGGTTGTAAAGCTTGGAAGGAAGAAAGGAGCTTGGAACCTGAGTTGGGGACAGTAGATCCAGAGAATTTACTTCATTTTCAGCAGCTTCAAGGTATAATGCCCCTGTCTTGACTCATCTATGTGTTATTCATCTTTAACTTGGGATTTCTTTGGATTGCTAAGTCATGTTTTGGTATTGGAAGTGTGGAGTGGGTTTTGACTTCAGATCTGGGCCTTAAGAGGGGTTTCA